TATTGATCATGAAATAACGCTGGATATTTTTTTCACTACCACTAAAAACACATACTTAAAGCATAAAATATTAAGTATGACTTATAGAAAGTAGCGTTATATTGTAAGTTTATTTCGCAATTGATATGGCGGCTCGTTGGTCTAGGGGTATGATTCTCGCTTTGGGTGCGAGAGGTCCCGGGTTCAAATCCCGGACGAGCCCTCCTTTTTTTTTTTTTTTATTCCCCTCTCTTTTTTTTTTTTTTTTTTAAATTAGTAACTAAAATGAATGCAGAGAGCCTTACATTTTTTGTAATATTCCTTTTATTTATCTAACTTGCATAATTAAAAAAATGACAAACTCCCTCACTGGAAGATTTCAAACAACAGGAGTCGGCATACCTATCAATTTTACCGAAATTTTCAATAAATAAAAAATACGTAATACTATAATTATAGAGTTATTATTATAGTATTACATATTTTTTTTATTTAGTGAAAATTTCGGTAAAATTGATAGGTATGGCAACTCCTGTGGTGCAAACGAAAATCCTAGAAACCCCAAGTAAAAAGTATCAACATAGTAAAAGCTAAAAGTACTGTGGGCACTGTGCTTACAAAATGATAACCATATTTCACTATAGGTTTTTTTTCTGTTTTGTTTTGTTTTGTTTTGTTTTGTTTTTGTTTTTGTTTTTGTTTTGGTTAGGAATCATGTGATCATCCCTATTCTGTTTTTTAGTTTGTTATGTAAACGTAATAAAAATGAAATTGTAAATAACAAGAAATAAAACACTCGACATTTCTCGCATTATATTTTCATACATATGCAGTTTGATTTAAAAAAAAAAAATGCTATCTGAAAATATGAATATAAGCATTGAATCAATACATTGAATAGGGTGTGTCAAACAATGACAGCTGACTGTATTTGACCAAACCTGTCAAAAATGTTACTTCAATGCTTATAATAGCTGCAGATCTGTAGCTCGCTGGTCTGAAAAGATTGGGATGGACGACCAGAGAGCTACAGTGCCACCCATTGAAAAAGTGTATATTTACTGCGCACAAAAAGTGCGCTGTTCCTTGATTTATTTCTCCGTAGATATCAAAATATTACTTACCGTGTGTTCCTAACATATTCTTTTACTACTTCCACAACAAAACTGTATGTACATGTAAAAGTCATGTACGAAGTGCGTTGGACCGAATTGTCTTGCCACCCAAGATGGCAGTATGTGGAGGTGAAATTTTCGATGGTCTCAATTTCAGGCCAAGGGCTATTAACAACCATTTTAGGAAATCTTTTATTGTGGAAGTAGTGAAAAAATATGTTAGTAACACACGGTTTGTAATATTTTGAGATGGCAGTTATATACGGAGAAATAAATCGAGAAACAGCGCGCTTTTTGTGTGCAATAAATACACACTTCTTTCAATGGGTGGCACTGTAGCTCTCTGGTCGTCCATTCCAATTTCAATCAGACCAGCGAGCTACACATCTGCAGCTATGCTTATAATTATCAATTTGATATTGAAATATTATAGACCTCTTTGAGCTACTCATTTGAGAAAGGAATCTGCTTTAAATTTGTATATCATCACACATTTTAAACTACGCTGATCCCATACTTGAGCTAAACCCAGAGAGGAAAGTTTGTGCTTAATACTAACCATCCATTTGTATTGCTTTTAACCCGTAATCCGACTAGGACTGCAAAATACAATTTTTTTATTTCCTTTTTTTTAAAACAACCATATCAAGTTTCCCTTCAACAGACAAGGGATGTTATTTTTATCCTTGATTCACACAATACTAAAGCGAGTATAACAAGTTTTCTTTCATACTTCAAACATATTCTTACAAAATTTAAATGAACCTTTTCGACAACATGGACTTTGTGGAACCCCATATTTCACAGAATATTTACATATATAAATATCGAATAAATGATATGAAGTCTGAGCATCAAAAACATTTTTTTAATTATCTAAACTTGAAAAAAATGAAAAACTTTCAGCCTTGATCGTAAGCATGCTTCCGAGTTTTCAATCGAATTACTTACAACACCTAAATAATTAAACTCAATGATAGCTATAGTATTTTTATTACTGTATATAACGTAGCTGCAGATATGTAGCTCGCTGGTCTGAAAAAAAATTGGAATGGACGACCAGAGAGCTACAGTGCCACCCATTGAAAGAAGTGTGTATTTATTGCACACAAAAAAGTGCGCTGTTCCTCGATTTATTTCTCCGTATATTTAAACTGCCCTCTCAAAATATTACAAATCGTGTGTTCCTAACATGTTCTTTCACTACTTCCAAAATAAAACATTTCCCAAAATCGTTGTTAATAGCCCTTGGCCTGAAATTGAGACCATCGAAAATTTCACCTCCACATACTGCCATCTTGGGTGGCAAGACAGTTCGGTCCAGCGCACTTCGCACATGACTTTTACATGTACATACAGTTTTGTTGTGGAAGCAGTAAAAGAATATGTTAGGAACACACGGTAAGTAATATTTTGATATCTACGGAGAAATAAATCAAGAAACAGCGCGCTTTTTGTGCGCAATAAATATACACTTTTTTCAATGGGTGGCACTGTAGCTCTCTGGTCGTCCATCCCAATCTTTTCAGACCAGCAAGCTACAGATCTGCAGCTATTTTCAACATTACTTAGTTTTAATCCGTTTATAAATAGAAAAATATTTTTCTGTGTATATTCACTTCTTAATTCCAAGCACCGCAGAATTTTTTTTTTTTTTTTTTTTTTTTTTTTTTTTTTTTTTTTTTTTTTTTTGCAAAAAATCTCTTCTTGTGTTTATAGCTAGATATACCAATAATTTAATGAAGAATACAGTACAAACTAGAAGTTGTGAGCACAGAGCTTACAAAATGATAACTACCCCCCCCCCCCGGCTCACATATGTCAGGATATAAAGGTAAAGTCCATTTTTTTGCTAGATTTGTTCAGATTTTGTAAAGGGAAACCCCAAGTATCTGTCCGATCAAAAAAAAAAACATGAGGCGCACAATGCCACTATGTTATAAAAATTTTGTGAAAGTCTTATTAAATTTTATGCAGTGGCAAAGGAGGAGATGCGGATAAGAGATGGATACCCCAATGTGTAAGATAAAATATTAGTGCCCATGTTTTGCTATGGGAAACCCCAAACATCTGTCCGATCAAAAAACAAAATAAGAGGTGCACAATGGCACATAATTAAGATTCTATGGAAGTCTGATTAAACTTTATTAAATGGTATAGGGAGAGTTGCGGATAAATGATGGGTACCCCCAAGTACATGTATTATAGAAAGAATTGCAGTGTCCATGTTTTGCTGAGGCAAACCCTAAATATTTGTCTGATCAAAACGAAAAATAAGAGGTGCACAATGACACAAGGTATTACAAGAAAGATTCTGTGAAAGTCTCATTAATTTTGATTCAGTGATAAAGGAGGAGTAGAAGAGAGGGGTGCCCCTATTGTTAAAGAAAAAATGGCAGTGTCCAGGTTTTGCTATGGGTAACACCAATTGTCTGTCCAATCAGAAAATAAGATTTAAGAGGTGCACAATGTCACTATGTAATAAAGATTCTGTGAAAATCTCATTAAATTTTATTCAGTGCTAAAGGAGGAGTTTCGGATTAGAGATGGATACCCTCAAACTCAATAGAAAAAATATCAGTGTCCACGTTTTGCTAAGGGAAACCCCAAATATCTGTCGCATCGAAATGAAAAATAGGAGGTGCACAATGGTACTATGTAATAAAGAATTAGTGAAAGTCTGATTAAATTTTATTCAGTAGTACTTTACGAGCTGCGGATAAAAGTGGATACCACCCATGTTATAGAAAGAATGGCAGTATTTATGTTTTGCTGTGAGAAACCCCTTATATCCGCTCGATCGAAATGTAAAATAGGAGGTGCACAATGGCACTACATGCATGTAATAAAGATTCTGAGAGTATTATAAAATTTTATTAAGTGGTATAGGTGGATATTAGAGATGGATATCCCGAAATGTTATATGGACGTACGGAAGGACGTAATGGCGGACAGACACCCACATCAATTTATAAAATATATATATTTATATATAAAAACATTGATGTAAGATCAGAAGATATAAATGTTATAAAATTTCAACAGCTTTCGAGCAGTATCTTATGGTCGTCCACACTGGAGCAAAATCCTTTGCTATCTGCCGCGTCCACATTGAATTATAAGGGTTCCTATAAAAGGTGTAGCGTTTTGGTAAAGGTTAAGGATACTAAAAATTTGATAAAGTTGATGACTTTGCCAATAATCACTATTTCTGTGATATTTTACGAGGACGTGAATTATTTATTTTTAATCTATGACTAGTTTTATCATAATGATATGATGAAATACATCTGGCTAAACTTCAAATGACAGTAGAAGACCGCAGTATGATTTGTTTCAATTTCGCGGTCATCGACCATAAGAACAACTTATATATAATAGTTATGATAATGAATGAGAAAACAAATGATAGACACACAAAACAATAATGGAGACCGAGGTAGCGGTTAAGTTGACACTCTGTTAAACCATTTACAACAACCGTGTCTCTAGTTACACCATGCCTGTAGAGCAATATATATATATAAACTCATTTCCTGTCATCAATATTCTTTTTTAAATTAAATGGTAAGGTTCTTATTTGAAATATAGTTCGAATAAAAACGAGAATTCCATAGCTAAAAGAATTCATACGTGCTTTGAGTTTATTTCTCTCCTTTTGTGTGATTGATTTGTAAAAAATGTTTATAAAATTCAAAGAAGTAACATAAAACACAATTCATTGTAATAAATCAACCACATTATCCCTTTAATTACCAGGAATCCTCTCCATCAAAACTATTTATTCATGATCAAGGTCTTCAAACAAAATGACATTCGTAGGCGCAGCTTTGTCGCGCATTATGAATGAGTTAGAAATTAACACACTTATTCCATAACCAATCTGCGCCACTGTCTCTTACATGTGTTAGAACCAACACCGGTGGTCCTAAAAGTCACGGATTATTACTGAAATTATGGTGTGAATAGTGTATTAGTTTCATTCAAACATATTTTTCGCAAAATGTCAAGTTGGAGGATTAGGTTCCACGATAAGGTAATTAGTAATTCTTATGTAAACCGCTTCCGTGCTTCACAGCTGATATATTAATTAGTGTCGTCTGAGAACATTAAGACATGTAGATATAATGTCCCAAGTTCTATACTACGTAAATATCTTTGTATAGTATGTTACATTTATTTCTTTTTTCGTTCATATAACCAAATTGCCTTCTTTTAATGATCTGTAAAAGACAGTTCCATGTGTCACAGCTTTTTGATAAGGTGACTCCAAGAGTAATGCATTACCAAGTTGCTCCATGGTTTGGTTTAAGGAAATGGTTGTAAATCTCGTGCCATCATCCTCTACGACGTAAAATAGAAAATTTGATGGATAAACGATAGATACTTTTTCCTTGTTTAATTGAAATGAATGCTGTATGTAAACTACGATAGCTTCCGAAAAACTAAGCACTCACGTCTGATCATCTTTCAAAGGTTTTAAACCTTTGAAACCCAATTTTAACTCCACCCTAGCCCTAGGGAACATGATTTGAACAAACTTGATCTGCACTATATTGTGATGCAAATATATCAATATGATTTATCATGACCCGGTGATTCATGAGAAGACCTTAAAGTTTTCCCCACATGTTCTCCTATAAAACTTTGATACCCTTATCTTGTTTAACCTTATGGAACCATGATTTGAACTTGAATCTGCACTGCCTGAAGTTACTTGTATATGAATATGCCGTATCATGACCCTGTTGTTTGTTCGTTTTTTTTTGTTTTTTTTTTTTTTTTTTTTTTGTTTTTTTTTATGTTTTTTTTTTTTTTTTTTTTTTTGTTTTGTTTTGTTTTTTTTGTTTTTTGTTTGTTTGTTTTTTTTTTTTTTTTTTGGTTTTTTTGGTTTTGAGAAGTTTTCCCCCTTTATAAACCATGTAAAACTCAGATCCCCTAATATTGTCCAACCTATACGTCGATGCCTATGATTTGAACAAACTTTAAATCCTTTCAATCGAAGTTTTCAGATGTTTTGTGTTTCAGGTTTATAGTTATTCCTAAATATATTTTTAATTGACCCCATCCTATTTTCCCTACTTTTTAATTATATCCCTTTGAAAGAGGGTGCGGTCCTTCATTTAAATCTCCCTGGAATTCTCTTTTCCTAAGGATGCTCTGTGGCAAGTTTTAGCTGAAATTGGTCCACTGGTTCTAGAGAAGTGATCGAAAAATATGAAAAGTTTAGGGACGACAGACAGGCAGACAAGGACACTCTTCGACCAGAAAAGCCCACTTACAAGCATTTGGCATGTTGTCTTTTTTTTTAACCATGAAAGTAATACTCACATTGCAGTATTCTTAAATTGCAGCCAAACTTCTTTCTGAAAAACCTGAGAGTGAAATATTTATACGTGTATGTGAGAAAATATGAGTGTGATCATTAATTCAATAGAAGCTTTGAAGAAAATCTACAGTGCATAAAATTTTAAACATTATTAAAAAAAAAAAAAAAAAGACATGTAAGTACATGTAAAAAAGACGTATTTTTCAAACTATATGGCTATAAGTCTTTCTTTAAATTTAAGCATGATTTCCGTCTAGAGTTGACATAATACATTAAATCGAAATTCTTATTGTCATGTTCACTTTTGTACTTAGATGTTTTCATTCAAATTAAAACAATCATGACTGTCAAAAGATAGTTTAACCACAGAATATTAGTTTTTTTGTGACTAATTTTAATAGATCTATCTGTCTACTACCAAATTTATTTCGAGGATTCGGACTATTGAAGTGGGATATAAAGTATAAATTCTGAGTTTTCCTGACTTCTCACTTACAGTGGTAGTACCACTGGATCATTATAGTTACTTGTATGTTTTATCCCGTGACATGTATTCCATTAGGACATTCTATCGAGTAATTATCAATTTTCTGCGGATTGCATAATTAACCGACCAATAGTTTAATATTTATACAAAAGTTTCATTTGTCTGCAATGCTAATGGGAATACAGTGCACATCCATAAACCATATTTTTGACATCTGATTTAGTCCATGAATATTTATGAAGCGATATCGATCAGTGAATATTCCTCTTTTGTGTAAACAGTTTATTAGAACATATTACCACAGGTGAAAATTAAAAATCCCCTTGGAAAGTTTTAGTAGTATATTACTAGATTTGACGACATCCCAAGTGTCCACGTCATACCAGTAAAAGAACAAAAATTCAAACCCAAGCCACTTGTCTTAAACTTGTAAAACTCTTTATTTAACGAGAATCACAGTTTCATGTCACAAATTTGACCTCAAAGTTTTCGATCTGTGCTGATATGTTATGTGTGTTTTTTTGTTTTTAAACCAATTTATGTGCATGATATTCATCTATTTTGTTATAAAAAGTAAAATTGGATCTCAAGACAGCCAGTAATTCCCTGATCAGAGAGTGTGTCAAATCATCTGAATACAACGCAATTTCTAAAATAAATTGTCTTCATTCCTACTGTGTTGTCAAGTCACAGATTATATAATGAGTTTATAAAACCGTTTCTTAAAACTGCAAAATACTCAAAGTGAGGCCAAATTTCAGATTCTCAGTTTTAACTTCCAGATAATCTTTCTTTTCTTTTTTATGTTTTAATGAACAATTTCTAACTTTTCCCAGTTTGGTTTATTTACTAAAAGAAACATGATCCAATTAGGTTTCTTTCTTTTTTGGTCTCATCTATCAATATAAAGAAATTGAACAAAGTGGCTTTCTTAACTCCCCTCAGCAAATAAGTTTATTGAGGCCTATTTGTATCGTTTTTGTCTAGCTATCCAAAATGTTCTACTCAATTAGGTGATTTAACTGGTGTAAACTTTTCACATTTGCGACTTCTTATCCAGAGGTACTGGACCAAATTCATGCAAATGTACATGTACCTTACAAAGTCCAGAGGGGGATGGAGATTTAAGCTAATTGAAGAGAAAAGCCATATTCCATATGAAAAATGAGATGATTATAAAGAATGTAGAAAAGTTATCATGTTGTAATTTTTGCATTTATCTCCACCTAGTAAATTCAAAATTTACATGATACTACGATTTTAGAGAATAATGGGGGGGGGGGCATTTTCCTTCACATAAATAAGCATTCCAGTAGATTCAAGTTTCTTTAAATCATGGCTTCAATCCTGAGTAAATTTTGGGCGAAAACGAAGATTTAAAGTTTTAAATTGGAATAAATAACGAAAAGCGTATAGAGGACATTCAAAAATTTTTTTGGACATCAAGTTTGAAGCTTTCTAATGCATGCAGTGTATATATTTCAATTTGTTCAAAATAAAGGATCCCGGATTCAGATTTGGGCCACAACAGGAATCTAGATTTTTACGAAGTTTACAGGGAAAATCTTTTAAATCATATCGTGATAGCATCATATTAATATATATATATATATATATATAATATATATATATATATATATATATATATATATATATATATATATATATATATATATATATATATATATATATATATATATATATATTGATCTGGAAGCTTTTCTATGAAGGCAGATTATATATTTTATAGATAAATAATAGCTCTGCTGAGACCAATCAGGTGTCCACAGCTTAAGATAGGAACCCTTTTTAAATAAAGAATCTATGGATGTTCATATGTTCACATATAGAACATGTGACCACATTAGACAATTTAATATACAAGCACATCCTTCTATTGGATTCTATTTAATTTCTTTTAAAATGTACTTTTAAAAATCAAAGCCGTGATATCGCATATATGGCATGTCAAACGTTTCGATCTTCTCCATTTGTATTGTATAATTTTCCATTTATATTCTTTAATTTTTATTTGTACATGTATTTTATAATTTTCAATTCGTATTGTATTATTTTCCGTTTGTACTGCATATTTTGTCATTTGTATTGTATAATTTTTATTTGTTTTCTTTAACCCTCCGCTTGTGTTCTATAATTTCCATTTGTATTGTATAATTTCTCATTTGTATTATTTTCAATTTATATTCTATAATTTTCCATTTGTATTCTATTTTCCACTTGTATTTTTTTTATCTGGAAAATTATACAATGCAAATGGAAAAATCAAAATATTTTTTTTCAATTGCATTGTATAATTTTCCAGATGGATAAAAATACAAGTGGAAAATTATAGAATACAAATGGAAAATTATACATTACAAATGGGAATTATAGAATACAAATGAAAATTATACAATACAAATGGAAAGTTATAGAATATAGATGAAAAATTATACAATATAAATGAAAACTTATACCATAAAAATGGAAAATTGTACAATACAAATGGAAAATTATACTTTAATGAAAAATTATACAATACAAATGGAAAACTATAAAAACAAATAGAAAATTATTGTATACATATAAAAATTATACAATACAAATGAAAAATTATACAATACAAATGAAAACTTACACAATATGAATGAAAAATTATATAATACAAATAGAAAAGATCGAATATTGCAACATCTAACATAAAATATATAAGCATTCCTCCAATCCTTATATAAAGACATGTCAAACCAAGCCTTGTCCTCAAAAGCATGCTGGAATGTTTTTTTTTTTCCTCGGCCTGTTCTTCACTTCTTGACTCGTACGATAAAAAAATAAGTATAAATTAGTTTCCTGCAAAGAGATCATATTACTGACTCAGAAAGAACGCATACTGTTATGCGGTTTTGTATTCATTTTTTTCTCAAATTTGCAGCCTAAATATAGAAGAGGACATCCTCGCAAAAATAAGCTTAACACTATGTTAAAACTCCTTTCGTTTTTGGAGTAATGTGGATGGTAATAATTAGGTTGCATTACAAGGAATATGATTGTCCTCAACTGTTTCACGTGGATTAATTTAACTTTAAAAAAAACTCACGTGTTTTTCATTGTTGAAACCATGTGCCCTCCAAAATTTATGATTCTTTCATCTTAATTAGTGATTATATTACATTTTATTTAAAACTTTAAAAAATGGACAAAAGGTAATAAATACATTTTC